AATACACGTAGCATATGGGATTTGAGCTAATTGGGACCAAACACTGATTGTACGGTAAATTGAAGAGATAGCTTCCTGATGTCTTTGAAGAAGTTGTTAAGCAGATAGTAAGCCAACTTTTGGGAACATTCAGTTTCCGGTAGGTCACAAGTCTGGTCCTGTGGAAGATCCGGAACATACGTGAAAGTGATCAATTCATGAAACTGATCCTAGAACTCCGTGGTTTTTTTGGAAACCTCTCGTAGACGTCTTATCAGAATGAATTTGGAGTTGATACTGGAATATACACTCCAAGGATTACGGGATGGTCCTCCGGAAGATCCGGAACATCCGTAAAAGTGGTCAATTCACTAAATTGATCCTAGGACTCCGCGGTTTTTTCGAAAAAAACGTATAGACATCTTATCAGAATGAATTCGGAGTTGTGACCTGAATATGGCCTTTAGCGACTACGAGATGGTCCATCGGAAGATCCGGAGCATCCGTAAAAGTGGTCAATTCATGAAACTAATCCCAGAGCTCCGCGGTTTTTTCGAAACAACTTGTAGACATCTTATCAGAATGAATTCAAAGTTGTGCCCTAAATATGGCCTCTGGGGACCATGGGATGGTTCACCGAAAGATCTGGAAAATCCGTAAAAGTGGTCAATTCATGAAATTGATCGCAGAACTCCGTGGTTTTTTCGAAATCACTCCTAGACGTCTTATCAGAATGAATTCGGAGTTGTGGCTGGAATATGGACATTGGACACCATGATATGGTACTCCGGAAGATCCGGAACATCCGTAAAAGTGGTTAATTCCTGAAACTGATCCTAGAGCTTCATGTTTTTTTCGAAACCACTCAAAGATGTCTTATCAGAATGAATTCGGAGTTGTGACCTGATATGAACCCAAGGGACCACGGGATAGTCCACCGGAAGATCCGGAACATCCGTAAAATTGATCAATTCATGAAACTGATCCTATAGCTCGGCGGTTGTTTTCGAAATCACTCATAGACATCTTATCAGAATGAATTTGGAGTTGTGACTGGAATATGGACACTGGAGACCACGGTAAGGTCCTCCAGAAGATCCGGAACATCCGTAGAAGTGGTCAATTCATGAAACAGATTCTAGAGCTTCATGTTTTTTTTTCGAAACCGCTCATAGCCGTCTTATCAGAATGAATTCGAAGTTGTGACCCAGGGGACCACGGGATGGTCCACCAGAAGATCCGGAACATCCGTAAAAGTGGTCAATTGATGAAACTGATCCTAGAGCTCCATGTTTTTTTCGAAACCTCTCAAAGACGTCTTATCAAAATGAATTCAGAGTTGTGACTGGAATATGCACCCAGGAGACCACTGGATGGTCCACCGGATGATCCGGAACATCCGTGAAAGTGGTCAATTCATGAATCTGATCCTAGAGCTCCATGTTTTTTTTCGAAACCTCTCAAAGACGTCTTCTCAACATGAATTTGAAGTTGTGACCCAGGGGACTACGGGATGGTCCACTGGAAGATCCGGAACATCCGTAAAAGTGGTCAATTCATGAAACTGATCCCAAAGCTCCGCGTGTTTTTTCGAAACCACCCATAGACGTCTTATCAGAATGGATTCGGAGTTGTGATCCAAATATGGACCCTGAACGCCACGGTATGGTCCTCCGGATGATCCGGAACATCCGTAAAAATGGTCAATTCATGAAACTGATCCTAGAGCTACATGTTTTTTTTTTGAAACCTCTCATAGACGTCTTATCAACATGCCTTTGGCGTTGTGACTGGAATATGCTCCCAGGAGACCACGGGATGGTCCACCGGAAGATCCGGAACATTCGTAAAAGTGGTAAATGCATGAAACTGATCCTATAGCTCGGCGGTTTTTTCAAAATCACTCATAGACATCTCATGAGAGTGAATTCAGAGTTGTGATCCAACAATGGACCGGATGCTAAATGTTCCCAAAAGGTGTTTTCTGTTTAATAAATTTCTGTTTAATAACTTTTCAGAAGTTCCACGAAGTTATCTCTTCAAATTACCCTGCAATAAGAGTTTGTCCCCAATTAGCTCTAATCCCATATGCTACGTGTATTCGTTAATGCCGGTTCCCATAGCGCGGTCCCTATCAACCATACTATAGGAATCTTGACTGTACTCATAAATAAAGGACATCGGAAAAACATTCTATTTACTAATTTCTACTCATTCTAGTAACAGTAGAATAACCTTAATTCACACCGTTTCACTTGCATAGTGTACTAGAACATTTCAAGCTCTCGTTGATGGCATCCAGGAAACGTTCGAAGGGGGTCCGTTTTATTTTTATTTTTTTATTACAATTACCTTTAGAACAAGTTCTCGTAAGATTTAGCATATGAGTGAACTGTGATTGTATATAAACAATAAATGGTGGCATTTCAACTTGAAGAATAAATAATACGGAACGCTAGGAGGTTGCTGAAACTTCTGATTGTGGTGTCGTAAATTAAATGAATATTTCAATTTGTCTCGAGCAGAATTCATTAATTTATTATTTAAAATAGGTGTTGCATCAAAACTATTGGAATCGTGGATACACTTGTGATGATTAAATGGACTCGTCTTGTGATGTATTATTGTTCGCCATAGATCGATGGTTTCAATTTGATGTCATTTTAATACTACAATGAACTGAACTTGTCGTAATTTCGTCCCAGTCATGGGGTGATCTGTCACCCATTATTCGGCGCCAGCATCGGTGTGAAATGTCTCGCTCAGATGGCATGGTTCCCTTGACGAAGGGCAGTTCCACGTACGTTGTTTCTGGTTAGCCAAGGACAATTATTTGTCTGATGGGGTACGGGTCGTTCCTGGTTCCGGTTATTTTGTAGTTTTTGACGATGACGCTAACGAATTTGTCTCTACTGGAAACCAGTAATATTTACACGAGTACATGAGTCCCTTAGATTAAGCATGTCAATCTACAACCAATATGTTTCACCAATAGGGTTTTTGAAACAAAATATTAGATAGTTACTTAGAAAGTTAAGGAGTGACAATTCTCGCTTTTAAAATAATAATTAAAAAAAAAATGTTTGTCGATTGAATATAATTTCCAGCCCTGCTTGGAATCCAATTTCAACGTTTCAAAAGGGTGAAGCTGCTTTTGCAAACAATTACTTTAATCGCCAATTTCTCGCGAAAAAGAGTTCTTCCATGCAAACTTTCTACACCATGAGGTAGGAAGCCAGTTGGAAAAGCTTGTTTGCAAGAGTGAGCTTTTATTCGCGGAAAATTCGGCTTTTGAAGTAATTGTTTGTAGAAGCAGAATCGCCCTTATTAAATGTTGACACCCATGAAAAGATAAACATTACCCACATTCAAGGAATCAAAAATATCTCCAAATGACAAACTAACAAGCGATCAACGAACCGAATAATAACGCTATGTCAGAAGTTGAAAACAATAATGATATAATCTTCACCGTTCTTTTTCATGACAAGCAGCTCGTGCGACCCGACTCATTCGGGGCGGTGGGATGACAATATTAGACGATGCAAAACATTTATTGATTTTGTATTTTACCTGCATTATGTATTGAAAACTGAGCCTTCCAAATAAAAGAACTAGATAAAAGAAAAATGTATTGAAAACCTATTTTATTCCTATATTTTTTTCGTTATTGTATAAAAAAAAACTGTTCCGCATTTTAAAAACACGCATTTTTATGTATTTTGTATCTTGTTTGTAACGACCTCTCAAAATCAATATAATACAGATGAATCTGTACATTTAGCAGCTCTGCTCCGGTGGTTGCTGCTCTATGGTAATTGATTACTATCCATAACTCGTCAACGAAGTTGGTTTTGTTTGTTAAAGCTTTAGCTATTGTCTTGTTGAGCACCTTCCACCATCCCATTCTACTGCGGGAATAGCGGGGTTGAAAATCGTGGTTATTCCACGCTGAGTAGAGTATAGTTTGTAATCATCGCCATTAAATGGCGGACTATTATCTGATTTGATGAACCCTACCTCTCAAAAACCTCATCAAGACGATCAATGACAGAAGGATTTTCAAATATTCTGATTTATTTTCTAATGGCGGTAAGCTCCAACCTCCAACCAAGCCTGCTTTGATGTCAGCGTCAAAGTTAGGCAACTCAACTCGAGGCAAACAATTTGCAGATCATCTAAACAGGGACGGTATTAAAAGTTAATCCGATTTGAAGCTTACCACCATAATACTATGCAAATATTCACAAAATCTAGTTCGTGATATTTTACTGAAATTTAACACTTAGAACATAAATTAAAAGTTTCAAAAATTCTTCTGTTGTCTTGTAATATTTTTTTTTCCCAAAATAATTATGTGTAATCGATAAGCTTTAGAAAATTTTTACTCATAAATGCAGAAGTTCATACAAGCGTGTTACATCGATGAAAAAATAAAAGATCGTTTGAATCATCGATATTCTCGATATCAATGCAGTATCGCCCAATGCTAACTCGCCATTCTTGTTCACTTTGCTTGCTCTTGCGCTCGCCATTTTCTTTTTAACAGCGGCATTTCACGTCTCGTTGCGCGTCTTCAAAAGTGATCAATTATTTTCGAGTCTTTTCTAATGCCAGCAACAGAGGAGCAAAAACAAAGAAGTAGGGAAGCCGTGCGGCGATTTCTACTCAAGAAAAAGGTAAGATTTTTTCGTTTACTGTTTGTTTTTTGTTTTTCCATTATTTTTCCAGAACCTAATGCCTTTTTTTTCACAGCTGGGTAAATCATCGCTAACCCGTGCACCTGCACATACAGAAGGACTGGTGGGGAACTGTTCCAAACATACTGTCGTACTGCGGCAAAGTACGACTGCCAATACGGGAGACAAGATGGTCAACAAATTGGAGCAGAAGCGTGAGCAGCCGAACATACACGGTCCAGGCAGAAGTAATATCGTTGCCCGTCGGCCTAGTACCCGTGCCAATCCGGGAGGTAAGATGATGGACGATTCGGAGCAGAACCACGAGCTGCTGAACCTGCACGACCCAGGCAGAAATAATATCGTTGCCCGCCGGCCTAGTACCCGTGCCAATCCGGGAGGCGAGATGGTCAACGAGTCGGATCAGAAGAACGAGCAGCTGAACCTGCACGGCCCAGGCAGAAGTAATATCGTTGCCCGCCGGCCTAGTACCCATGCCAATCCGGGAGGTAAGATGATTGACGATTCGGAGAAGAACCACGAGCAGCTGAACCTGCATGGCCCAGGCAGAAGTAATATCGTTGCCCGCCGGCCTAGTACCCGTGTCAATCCGGGAGGTAAGTTGGTTGACGATTCGGAGCAGAACCACGAGCAGCTGAACCTACACGGCGCAGATAGGAGTCAAGTTGCACGCCGGCCTAGTACCCGAACCAATCCGGAAGGCGAGGTGCTCAAAGGCTTCGAAGAGAAACATGTGAGTAGCATTTAATTTTTATAATCATTCAGTGGCGTCTCCCTAACCTCTATCTACCTGTGTATTTCGCATTTTAAAAGCTATTACGCAGGTAAATTGATATTAGAATGGCGTCATTGATCCGTGGAGCTATCCGATAGTAAAACCGTAGCGGTTGACCAACCAGATTGCAGTGTGCATGACATTTCAGATCTGACCCTTCATTTTTTAGATCATATACTAATCTATTTTGTGTTATTCTATCATACAGCAATCGACACCAGATAACGACGATGACGATGATGACGATTCTACAGCTGATCCGAATGCCTCTGTTGCTACTGACCACACCAAACCTACGATAACCGTTGCGTCGTGCGGGGCTAACTCGGGAGAAATTGGACTGCTAGTGATGCATGAGGAACGATACGGGAATCAAAGTCAGGCGTTTAGCACAACCACATCTCCACCATTGATACCTGCTGATGTTACATCTGCCACTGTTGTCTTCAGTGAAGGAAGCAGCCTTCAACCTACGTTCGACAAACGGGTTAATCAACGGGTGAGTTTTTCCTGCATTGGAAACAGTTCTTTCACTACTTATAGCGTTTGGAGTCATAAGGGCCTAACTGTGATGATTAATTATCTCTATCGTTTTTTGCTTTTGTTAATAATTCGGCTGGATTAGCATTTCTCGATGCGTTTACTGCTGCTTTTGCTATGCAGTACAACCTTTTACCACAGACAAACAGACGTAACTCTTCATTGTGCATCTTCGTTCACGCATTTACCGGTTGATTTGAATATTATCAGTTCCGCGAACTACTCGCTGCAGCGCTGGTATCGGATCACTTTGACGTTTCTATACATTCTATCGAACTTTTATGCAACACTGTTTGCGACTTAGTGTGCAAGCTTGTTTTTCGCGAGAAGCCTGAGAGATGTCGTTACTGAGGTCCTATGTTTAGAGATACTATGTTTTCAAGAAAAACTTCTTCGAAGAGCTACGTCTGTTTGTCTGTGCTTTTACAGTATTCGGAAAATTTGTTCACTTAACTGTAGCAATCCAACGAGGAAATCGATGAAGAGAATCGATCATCGCAATTAGGCCCTCATGATTCTGAAAGATAAATTTATAGTTACAGCACTTTTCAGTTCAAACTGCTTATTTTTTCCTTTTATAGCTTTAAAAGAGTTAATTATTTAGTCCCGCTCGATTGCATTTCTAAAAAAAAGTTACGACGTTGTACTGATCACTCACTCACTCACTTTATCAATAGTAGACTGTCGTCTTGTTGTTCTTCTTTAGGCGATATTTCAAAGAATGTGCTTTTTATCGGTTTTATTTTCCTGTAGGATAATGCTGGAAAGCGTCGTGTTCGTAAGAGATACAGGAAGAAGAAGAGTGATGGAAATACGAAGCTTTTCAGTGAAACTAATACCAAGGTATCTTTCGATGATAAACCGCAGAAGCCGACCATCGTGCAAGGAAGGAAACCGCAGAAACAGACCACTATGCCTGTGGTAGGAACGAGCATCGAAGGCATCGTACGCCAAGGAATTCAAGACCACAAGGTAAGACAATTTTTTTCGTACCTATGTTGTAGGATAGGTGAACCAGTTTTTAACCTTAGTGGTTCTCTAATTAGCCCTATCTTGAAAATTTACATTTTTTTTTTTCAATATTTGTGTTAGTTTCCAGCGTAACAAGTCCGTTTGGTTGTTTATTACTGCTCGTTCTCTCTGTATTCTGCTGGTGTTCTGTACCAAATTAAGAAGCTACATTGGCCGTATATAGAACAAAAATGACCTCAATGAATGCTCTTTTTTATATTTTATAATGTGCTTACCTTTGCATTTCTCTCATTCCATTTAGCTACCATCAATATTGGAAGAAATCGAAGCACCACCGATCGATTTGCATACAATTATAAAAGAGGAGTTGTCCAAAGCTGAAACATCCGAGCCAAAGGTAACATATTTTTCTGGAATGTAGTAAATTGTTTATCTGAAATGAAATTGATTTGATTCAATATTTCTATCCTATTTTGTGCGAGCTACCCTTATAATATATAATATGGTCGAAACATACCCTTTTTATATAAAACGTTCATTATCAGTTCATTGTAACATGCACTACCAACATTATACTCGATAATAATCATAGTGATAAGATGTTGCTATGTACAGTACCCGTCACAAGTATAGAAACGTTTAGAAAAGTATTGCAACACAGATTAGCATCACCTTGACATTCACATATCTAAAAAATCAACAACTTTGCGGAAGACATCACCTTTGCAAATAATCAGAGATGGTTAGAGCTAGAGCTAGATCAAAATGAATCTAGATTGCGACGTCAATGAATCGTCTTGTAGTTAGGTCACATGGAAATTACTGCACAGCACAAAAAAAAAGAAATACCGATCAACGCAATCCATGCTGATGTACGAAATATTGATGTAATAGCAAAAAGCAGATGCAATATAACATCTATGGATGTATATTTGTTCGTGATTTATAAGTATATCATGCAATGTAATATAACACAATCCATTGAATGACCTGGTTGCAGCAGTTTGGATGTAATTTTCAACAACTTTTTTTGCTGTGTGTGCGAAAGCTTATTTCATTTTTTTTGCTGCCCTCTCGCTATGCGTAATACGACCGTTGGAACTGGCTGAAAATTTGATACCATACTGATACCATATTTTGCGCCAGTTTCTAAAACTTGCACACTCGTATATTTTCGGTCAACTCTCGATTTTAGCAATATATATTTAAAACCATGGAACCATGGGAAGTACTATTTGCAATAGTAACATTTAATAATATGATTTTGAAACGTATTAGAATGTGACTGAGTGTACAGAGTTAGAAACCACGCAAATTACGTCCACTAAGCACTGCACTGCACTTTTAGCGTGCTGTGTTGGTAGAGTAACGTGGGGCAAGATGGGCCATCCACTCGAGTTACTTTTTTTTGTATTTGTCATTATTTATTTACCACAATGCTGGTTTGAAAAGGTAAACCACAGGTGGCTGTTACGCCATCATGATATTCACAGCAGAAAATTAATTTTGATATCACGTCAAAGTGGATGCACTACAATCGTGTCGAAAATATGGTGTAATATTACTTGCCAGAAAGGACAAAATTATCATTAATACAGTGCATGAACTGACATTACGCTGCTTTTGCTGCATTTGTTTATTTTTGTGGCCATAAAAATTACATGAGATTTTCGACATGATTGAAGTGCATCCTCTTGGATGTTATATTAAAATTTATTTTTTGCTGTGTTGAACCGAACATCAGAAACGTCACAATTCAAGTGTGACTTTAAAAAAAAGGCGTGACTGGATCGCCGTTGAGATGGTGCTCTCAGTTTTGCGGTGAAAAGGTAGACAATCATAAATCAAGGCTGTTATTAGGTAATTATTAGTTTTTCTGTAACATAACACAAATTTTAAGTCATTTTTACGTATAACAATATAGCAGTCACGCGTTTCTCAAAATGCTGGCTATTATCTCCGGTTTTGGGACTCACGATTTGCAGCGGTGTTTGCTCTTTTCAGAGCAAGGTAAATAGTTTAGCGGTCCTAACGTATGCGGTAAAGAGATACTTTTTTCGGCGATTTTTTAAACGAATGCCTTCCACCTGCGGAAATTTCCTATAAAGTTACGTGTATCACCTCTTGCGTTATGTTTTGACAAGGCTTCCAAGCAATCATATTTTGTGACATCTAGCGCACCGAACAGCATTTCTTGGAAAAATTGAAGGGTGCTTTGTCATTATATGTTGTAGCCGTTACTGGCATACCGTCACAATTTGACTCGTTTGTCGTTTGTCATTTTGTCGTTTTGAGATATTTTTGCTTCCTATCCTTCTAACGGGTGTTCAATAAAAAATGAAAATTTGTTCAGCCATACAGCTAGTAAAAAAAAAATTTTTTTCAACGAACTCAGTATTTTTTATTAAAAACATAATGTTAATTCTTCAAAAAAAAAAACGTCAATGAATATTGGAGAAGGGGCCCTGGTCAGCCGTACGACGCAACTTAGTCGCGATGCTCTCACTTTAATTACAGAAAGGTATTGAAATCATTTTTTTTATTGAACACCCGTTATACTAGCTGAACCATCTTGCCGTACATTACCCTATTTTGCGACAAAGAGTACCCGTACTTGTTTTTTATTTGTTTTAGTTTTCCGTAAGTTGCTGTTAGACAGTATTGACCCCCCACCCCCCACCCGAAGAGATGAACTACCCCAGGGCTAAATCCCGATTTTGCGATCTTCGTTTCTTGAGAATCTTTTCTGATGCACTACGAAAAACTTGCATTTTTCAGAGGTCTCATTGCACCCTACACACTTAGAAATTACTGTTTTTACACGTGCCGTAATTCCTCTTTGACGTAAAGCATGGAGCGTTAACAAACATGTCATGTAAAATTAAGTGTACTGAAACTGAAACAAATTCAACTCGACGAAAAGTGCGTTTGATTGAATTCCTTTTCTCGTCTTTTTCAACTGATTCTTATGTCATAGATGTCGCTTGCATGTGTCGGTCTCAGGGCACCAAAATTTACATGACTTCTTCGTAGTGTGTAGAATAATGATTTTTCATTACGATTATTTGAAAGAGTGAACGAGTGAAAGACAAATATCTGATGCATCACAAAGATTTTTTTCTTGCTATGGCGAGAAAGTATGTGAACTAACTCTATCTAGAAACATATCTTACCGTATGATCCATTAAGGACTGACGTTTTCTATTCACAGATTAGCGCATTTGTCGGTTATGTTCCAGTGAAAACATGCTCATTTAGAGATGCAAAATCATTCGTCAAAAACTTCGAGTTCGGCTTCGCCTATCGTGCAGAAAATAATCCCGAAAAGGGCGGTATGCGGTACTATCGTTGCTCACGCATAAAATACAGATCACGGCCGCAGTGCGAGAGGAAAGTGTTGATATTCACTCCATACATAGATGCGGAATCTACAGTTTGCGCGAAAGGGGAACACAGCTGCATAAACGCTCCACAGGAAAACTTGGCACGCCCGAAGTTGTCGGTAGAGCAAGTAGATATGATCCAAAAGCTACTCAAGTCTGGCGTACCGAAAAAGAATGTAAAAAATCACGCCAAGCTGCTGGGAGCAAATGTTTCTAAACACCAGTTGGACTACGCTGTAAGGAATGTGTCAAAGCAACTCTACGGATCTGGCAGCTTATCTCTAGGTAAGCCATTTTTTTTTTTTTTTTTATTTCAAAATATTAGAAAAGCTACCAAATAAGGAAATTATGAATGTGTTTCAGTTTTTCATCTATCTGTACTCTCTAAATCTTTAAACTCAAATCGAGTTACAATGTAGGTAGCCTTTGAACATACCGAAAATAGAAATATTTTATATGCATTAGCTTTCTCGATTAATACGAACAAATAAGTAGGGGTTAGTGAGGCAGTTTGGCCACCCTAAGAAAATCATCACAAAGTACAAAAATCATTCAAAAATTCGAATGTGGTTCAATGAAATTCATATTTCCAAGCCTAATATATGTCATGCACATTTTAGGTTGTGATGATGAGGTGGTTTGGTATCATCTTCCGCTACCACCTCATCCTCATAAATAGTGCAATTTAGCATCGAATGGATGTATGCTGTTTCTCGATTAAATTAGTCAATTGTAGGAAATCATTTTCTTTTTTCTGGTTTAGATAAGCTAACTTTTGCCACGGTACCTGAAATGATTGTTTATCTTGAGTTTAAAGAGTGATTTGGTATGTCTGCAATCATTCTGCGCTGAGTTTTGCGTAGTACTGTTCCCCTAGGTTGGTAGCCACATGCTGGTACAGTATCGGTGAGGCAATAGATTCAGCTTAGCGTAAGTTTACCTTTTCAAGGTGATTCGTCATCCACGATTTGGCGCCAGCACCAGTGGACTAAAAATGCTTCGCTCAGATGGCATAGTTCCGTTGACGAATAGAGCATTACCACTATGGTGTTCATGGTAAGCTAAGGTCAGTTATCTGACTGGTGGAGTACGGAGCTATATGGCTGTAATCATTTTGTAGCATCATGCATCTGTACCAGTGGTCTGTGACTCCCCTGGGGTTGAGCGGTATCTTTGCTCAAAGCTAGTAGTAGATGTTTGTAGCGCTTACCAAATTTCATTCCATGATTTTATTAAATAATTTTCAAAAACTACCATTACTACTACACTACTTAAATCATGAAAATGTATTTCTATAATTTTATTTAGGCCCTTGGGCTGCAAACATTTGAAATCAGACAAATATGACTGATTTTGAGAATGGATGAAAATAATGTACGTTTCCAATTTATTTCTGGTGTAGAATCTATTGATTGTTTTTTTTTTTCCTACAGAAAAATGTTTATAACCAAAAAAGTAGCATATTGAACCATGTAGCATATAGTGCAATCCTCAAGCAATCGTTTGGATGTCAATTCAAGTCTTAATTTTTTCAATTACTCCTTGTAATAACTGTCTGTGGATCTGGATTTGCCTGTGGATCTACCCGATTATTATAAATAAGAAATTCTCACATCTCCCTCCATGTTACAAACTATTCTCAAACGATTTTGTTGGTTCATTGGCCTTTCACATTTTCGTCGAGAAAACCTCAGATTACCTGGTTTTAAAAACTATGCGATTCTAAGTTTTCTCTAGCTACTACAGGTTTTGTTGTAAAGTGTATTATAAAAATCCCCCGGAAGATGTTTTCAATTCTTTCTGATATGTTTCACCGTCTCTACCCAGAAAACGACTTGTCGATTTATTTGTTTAATAAAAAGCATTTGTACTAATTCTCACATAGGTGAGTTGGAACAATGGGCCGCGAGCAAAACAGCCATTCCATACGACGAAAGAGGAGCATTCGTCCTTAATAAAGACATTGATCATGAGAACAACAAATTTCGTTTTGTTGTATCTTCCAAACGGCTTCTCTCTGTGATGGGTAAGCTACGTATCTTGGCGGCGGATTGCACTTTCAAAACGACCCTAGAGGGCCACCCGCTGCTGGTCATCTGCATGGTGGACGAGATGCGCCACGCACACCCAGTGGCATTCGCTACCATCT